ATTGAACTTTTATTAAGGGATAAGTACTATTAGTGTCTTCCATGTGCAGATAAAGAAATCAAGCCTCAGAAAGTCTCTGTGACTTATATAAGATGACCCAACCAGGAAGAGGATGAGTCGGGTCTTGAAAGGAATGTTGGTATGACTGCAAGGGTTCTGCCCTGGTTTTACTGCTTGTTATCAACTCTTTTCAGACCTTTTGTAGATCCTTTTGGCTGCATAGGTACTTCTCCAAGAACTGAGACAAACCAGGAGGCAGCATCCCCTCAGGGAAGCATCTGGAACAGATAACCTGGGGACAAGTCAAGTCAGGAAGGCTATTACTTTAGACACTGACCATGAATACTTTAGGATCTAGGACAAGAAACGAAATGTCACTAGAAAGGAAGTTGAACTCAGAAGCTAAGTGCACAAATCATGAAGAAGGTAAATGGGCCACAGGGCTGGCAGCTAATAGAGTTAAGAGACCGGGGCAATGATTGAGGTGTGGAGCAGAGAGGTTGGAATGTGAGGAACTAAATCCAGGAATCCTGAGCAAGCGTTCCTTTCACACGGGGCCCAGCTCATCTTGCCAGAGCAGCAGTAGCCTCATAAAGGAGCCAAACCAGGCATGAAAACAACCTCTTTCCAAAGTGCGATTATTACTCACTCACTCCCTCCCACTGCCCTGCATGCCCCAAGACTGCTATCTCCATCTGACTCTTAGTTGTCTTGAAAAATAAGTATTTTTATTAGTTTATCGAAGTAATTTATGCAGGTAATTTTAGAAATTCAAATATAGAAAGACTTAAAAGAAAAGCAGAAGTCACCTGTCCCAACCTACTCCCTTTCCAATCCAACTCTTCACACTTTGCATTCAACTTCTGTAAATTTCCAAATGCCCCATGCACTCCCATGGCTCACACAGAACTGCACATGCCAGAACCTGTCCCAGTATTTCGTTTCTGGTTTTATTATCCCAAAGAGACGGAGAGGAGCCCAGCACAAAAGTCCCAAAATATACAGCCTTGGTGAATACAAATAGATTGAGAGCCAGAGTAGGCATGGGAGGGAAGTGAAGGTGTCCACTCAGGCCCCTTTTGTTTCACTGATTTCCATGGGCGGATGGATGGTTTCTCGCCATTGTCTGGGATGTATTGTATACTTTGCCAGCTCAAGGGAATGAGTCAGCTTCTTGCTCCTCCTTTACTTCCCATCTGCTGATAATGCAGCTCTCTACAACCTGTTGATCTCCATTAATAGTAAGAAGGCCATCAAACACAATTTGAGTTCAAAAACACATTTTTCCGTTTTGGTAGCAGAACTTTCTTCTGAGGTCTAGTGTTGCAGTGGCTCAAGTTTTCCTTTGTCTGCCATCCTAAAGGACATCATTCTTGTATTCATTCATTCAACAAACATTTGCTAAGCATCCACTCTGGGTCAGGCATGTGATCAGCACACTGGACACAGTTTAAGTCCACAGTCTGTGCCCTTGTGCCGGAATGGCCTAGGAAGAAAGTCAGATGAAAAGGCCACCACAAGTCGGTTTGATGAAAGCTCTCACAGATAAGCTTCTATGGAAGCATTAGGATGGGCACTGCACTCCTGATTGAGTAGTCAGGGACAGCCTTCTGGAATGGGGATATTGAGATGAGTTTTGAAGGCCAGCTATGAGCTAGGGTCTCTGCAGAGTATCTAGGGGCACTGAGTGTGGCCAGAACAATCTTTCTCTGATCACAGCCCCAAAACTGCTGAGATATTCACAATACCTGGCCAACATCTGTCAATTTTCTGGGTTAACATCCTAAATCTTGACTTTTTAGACAACGGCACCTGAATCCCAGCAGATACTGGCTGTTATTAGCCATTTCCCCAGTTTGAGAACTCTATCCTTGGGCCCAGGTCTCTGCAGAACTAAACAAAGCACCTTGTTCCAGCAGCCAGACCTCCCCTGCTCTTTGGGTCTGCCTGGACTCCTGGTCCAGCTTTGCTGCTTCCCGAGACCCAGCTCCAATATTTGTCACCCAGACACTTTCTTCCTCTCAGAAGGGTCTGACCTCTCCAAGGCCCTGAAAGAGGAAGTAAATGCTTCTCACAGCTATGTCCCCACTGTTTCAAGAAATTATACGAAGGATAGAGGAAGACACATGGAAGTCTCCAGAACCTTAGCCAGTCCAGAAATTTCACTTCGGTGTTTCATACCTTTATCTAAACACTTTGGTAGCTATTAAACTGAGATTTGTCCTAGGAAAGTAATATTTGGAGCAAATAAATTGCAAAAAAAAATTAAAATAAAAAAAGGTTTTATTTTCGTGGAAAGAAAGTAATAACAATAACACTGAGGAATAGAAAAGTGGAACCGGGCCGGGTGTGGTGGCTCACACCTGTAATACCAGCACTTTGGGAGGCCGAGGCCGGTGAATCATGAGGTCAAGAGATTGAGACCATTCTGGCCTACATGGTGAACCCCTATCTCTACTAAAAATACAAAAATTAGCCAGGCATGGTGACGGGTACCTGTAGTACAGCTACTCGGGAGGCTGAAGCAGGAGAATCGCTTGAACCTGGGAGGTGGAGATTGCAGTGAACCGAGATCATGCCATTGCATTCCAGCCTGTATGATAGAGCAAGACGCTGTCAGCAGAAGAAGGAGAAGGAGGAAGAGAAGGAGAAGGAGAAGGAGAAGAAGAAAGAAAGAAAGAAGGAAAAAGAAAGAAAGAAAGAAAGAAAGAAAGAAAGAAAGAAAGAAAGAAAGAAAGAAAGAAAGAAAGAGAGAAAAGAAAAGAAAAATGAAACCATTGAAGAGAGGAGACAATTCAAGTCTAAAGGACTGAGAGGTTGAAATTTCACAAGTTTGCTTAGGATTAGACCTGTTTGAAAGACGTGGAGAGAAAGAAACAAGGTAGGAAAAGAAGCAGGGGAAGAGGGAATAATGAGGGCACTATTAGAAGGAATGACTGAGCTGGGGCAGAGGCATAAGCAAGTAGGAGGAAATAAAATGCTAAAACTAGAATCATGTAGATGGACAATTTTATAGGAAACGTACGTTAAAATAAGTACTGAAAACAGGCAACGAAGACAGGATAGCAAAGCTTGAGTGATACCATACTTGGTTCTTAGAGAATCATTTTGTCTTCACCTGATTGCAGAAAAGTCCAGCCAAAGACTCATCAAATATGCTGTTTCCTGTTGTCATCTATGTGCGACTTCTTCTAGCTCATTACATCCCCAACATGGCTTCCCCTGTAGGGAACACACTTGTACCTGGGGCAAGAGTCGCTCCTCCTAACTTGTGACGTGCAGGGCGGGTTGAGTTCTGCTAAATTTCAAAGCTAAAATTAAATTTCTTCTGCCCACTTTTGTAAATTCCTTCTGAGTTACTTCTCTACCCCTCCCTGACTCATTTTCTGAGACTAAACAGTCAAATGAACAAAGAGTCCAATTATTTTCCATGAGTAGGAGAAAGGAATTATAGCAACTCCAAGAAATCATTAGTCAAAATTAATGCATAGCATGAAAAATATTACACACATGCACAGGTACACACACTTACATTCACACATGCCACCTCCAAGAGCCTCTGTCTTCACTAACAATCTACTAAAAAGGCCAATCAAATTTTAGCCTAGATGAGGACATATACTTTCAATTTGTCTATTTGGTACTCATGGATGGCTTTTTTCTGCATATTTTTTCAATAGAGTGCCCAACAGGGAATTGTAGCTTAGTATTTTAGAGATCAACCCACTGGGTTGGGGTGGGAAAATGGTCTGTTCAAATTTTTCACCCACTATTGAGAAGTGGATCTTTCCAATGAACAAAAAAATGTCAAAGAGGGAATTTTCTACCCATGTGTCTCTCTTGATAAAACTAGAGAAGAAAGGATTACTGCGCACTAGGCGTTTAGAGTAAAGCTGGTGGGAACACACAAAAGGAATTTCGTGAAGCACTACTGGGGACTGCTTACAGACCTCAATCGTAAGTAGTACATTTAGAAAACCATGTTACCCTGAAAACATTATTTATTTTTCTCTATGAGCTTTGGAAAGTATTGATTTGGAAATACGGATTTCTTTGCCCACTGAGTCTTTTGGAAACACGTTCTGGTTATTTTTATGAGCCCAGCCTGTCTTCCTGGCTTTATATGGAAATTAATTTCTTTTGGCAACATATCCACTTCTTGATCTAAGGCATATATAAGGTTTAACTACATCTGTTCAGAACTTTGCAAATACTCATACTGAGTCTTTCTGGAAAAGGAAGAACTTTAACCCCATCAAAGGGAGTCTGGTCAAGAAGGATTGTGGGTCACTCTAGCAAAAAATAGGATTCGTTGGTACAAGAGGGAGCTAGTTAAGCAAGAGCATGTTAGGGTAAGCATTAAGGAAGAACTTTTTTTTGACAAATGCAATGTTTAACAAATTCTAAAACTGGCTATCAAGGAATATCTGTAATAGCAAACACTTGAAAGAATTACCCATGTTACACCACCATTTCTTTTAAATTGTTTAAGCAGTAAGAGGTTTATAATGCTGAAAACTCTTAACTACACTGGGGGGAAAAGCTACACTCACAAATCACTTCTATCATGCAGGTTTATTGCAAAGTTACATAAGAATGTCGGCTCAGGAGATCTCGCCATTGCACTCCAGCATGGGCGACAGAGTGAGACTCCCTCTCAAAAAAAAAAAAAGTTATCTGCTAGGCGCAGTGGTTCACACCTCTAATCCCAGCACTTTGGGAGGTCAAGATGGGTGGATTGCCTGACCTCAAGAGTTCGAGTCCAGCCTGGCCAACCTAGTAAAACCCCATCTCTACTAAAAATACAAAAACTTCGACAGACATGGTGGCACATGTAGTACCAGCTACTCAAGAGGCTGAGGAATGAAAATCACTTAAACTCGGGAAGCGGAGGTTGCAGTGAGCTGAGGTCATGCCACTGCACTCCAGCCTGGGTGACAGAGTGAGACTCTATCTCCAAAAAAATAAAAATAAATTGAAAAGTAAAATGTTGCGGGGGCGGAGGTCGGCAGAGACCGGGAAGGGTTCGCTGTGACTCCCGCTTCTCGAGTTGGGGGCTCCGTTGGACGCTGCTAGGCAGACAGCGAGTACTGAGGGCGGGTGACCGCGGTGTTCCTGGGCCTAACCATGTCTCTAACCATGCTCAACTGCGGTTAGAGACGACATGAGTGCCGCGGGGCTGCTGGCCCCGGCCTCGGCCCAGGCTGAAGCGCCGCCAGCCCCCGAGTACTACCCAGAGGAGGACGAAGAGCTGGAGAGCGCCGAGGACGAGCGCAGCTGTCCGGGCCGCGAGTCGGACGAAGACACTGAGGATAGTGAAACTGACCTGGCAAAGCATGATGAAGAAGACTATGTAGAAATGAAGGAACAGATGTATCAGGACAAACTGGCTTCTCTCAAGAGGCAGTTGCAACAACCACAAGAAGGTACATTACAGGAATATCAGAAAAGAATGAAAAAACTAGATCAGCGGTACAAAGAGAGGATACGGAATGCAGAACTCTTCCTCCAGCTGGAAACTGAACAAGTGGAACGAAATTACATTAAAGAAAAGAAGGCGGCAGTGAAAGAATTTAAAGACAAGAAGGTTGAGCTGAAAGAGAACCTGATTGCTGAGCTAGAAGAAAAGAAGAAAATGATCGAAAATGAAAAGCTGACAATGAACTGACTGGAGATTCTATGGAGGTGAAACCTATCATGACCAGAAAGTTGCAGAGGCGACCAAATGATTCCGTCCCCATCCCAAACAAGAGGAGGAAACCTGCTCCAGCCCAGCTAAACTATTTGTTAACGGATGAACAGATCATGGAGGATCTGAGAACATTAAATAAGCTTAAGTCACCCAAGAGACCAGCATCTCCATCCTCTCCTGAGCACCTGCCTGTGACACCCGTGGAATCTTCCAGCCCAGAGGTTTGAAGCTCCGATAGAAGATGGCAAACTGTGCTATGACAAAAGATGGTACCACAAAAGCCAGGCCATCTATCTGGAATCAAAGGACAACCAGAAACTGAGCTGCATGATCAGTTCTGTAGGAGCCAGTGAGATCTGGGTGAGGAAGACAAGTGACAGCATCAAGATGAGGATCTACCTGGGCCAGCTTCAGCCCGGGTTCTTCGTGATCTGCCAACGCTCAGCTGCTTGACTTTCTGCAGTGCTCTTCTCTTGATCCTTTTTCTGGAGTGGGTTTTATTTTTGTTTTGTTTTGTTTTCTTCTTAATGGAAAAATGTTAACTTACTGGGAATAGCTACTCAGCCTTGGAAATGGAGAGCACTGTCGTGGATTCCTTAAGGCACTTTTGTGGCCGGCCACTTGGAACTTTGTCAGTCTTTTCTGCCTCAACTTCTTCCAGACATCAGTTACCATGTGACTGTTTTACTTTCAGGAGTATTGGGGGTTTGATTTACTTTCCTTTTATCTCTTTATTTTTTGCTTATACTTGTTTTTGAAAACCTCCTCTGAGTTTGAAGGGACAGCTGTTTTTATTAATTATCTTTAGGTCTCTCTACCATGGAGAAGAACAGGAAGGGATACACTCTCCAGTGCATTTTCATATTTTGAATCTGATTAGTGGATCAGGTAGCTACTTTGCCTGTTGAGCCCAATTCACTATTTCCCCAGAAGCTTGGGGCAGAGGTCCCAGCAGGAGATGAATTCTCCTGGCTCTCAGCCTTCTGGGAGAAATAAATGCTTTGTGTAACATCTGGCGCCCGCCATCCATTCCACTGGCTGAGCGATGGAAAACCTTGCCTGGGAGACTCTGTGCACTGAAGCAAATGGGTTTGGGGAGGGGACATTTCATATTTATAATGTGTTGAAGATACTATATTTTAAATATTATTTAATGCAGGTGATTTATTCAAACATTTGTTGTAGCTTAAAAAAAAAAAAGGAAAATGTTAGTTTTAGGCCAGGTGCTGTGGCTTACGCCTACAATCCCAGCACTTGGGGAGACCCGGGCAGGCTGATCTCCAGAGGTCAAGAGTTCGAGACCAGTCTGGCCAACATGGCAAAATCCTGTCTCTACTAAAAATACAAAAACTAGCCAGTGGTGTCTCACACCTGTAATTCCAGCTACTTGGGAGGCTGAGGCAGGAGAATCGCTTAAACCCGGAGGCAGAGGTTGCAGTGAGCCAAGATTGTGCCATTGCATTCCAGCCTGGGCAACAGAGCAAGACTCCATTTCAAAAAAAAAAAGAAAGAAAGAAAAAAGAATGTGAGCTCAAATAAGAAATTCCTCATCAGCCACACTCCTCCTCAGGGTCTTAGGTGTTCCAGTGTTGGGCTGCAGGCTTCTAGGAGCTTCAGAGGAATAACTCAACACTCAAGACTGCAACTCAAGCTTGAATGACCCATATTCTTCTGTTTGGCTAACATCTTTAACTTCCAGAAGAATGAACTTGGGTGAATTTTCTATCATTCAGTATGCTGTAACCTTGATATGTAGAAATCAAAGAAAAGCAAAAGCAAAGAATCTTGTTGTAACAAACCACCTTTCTCCATAAACAGACTCCTCAGTTAAATCGACTGTAGCTAGGACAGCAGGGTTTGTTTGATTCAGAAACAATGCCATGTGAATTACTGGATTCTGCAGGAAAGAACTGGTTGGGGTCACTTTTCTTAAAAGACTTCTTTGCCACAAAAATATCCAGGATATAAATAAGACTGAAGGCCGGGCGCGGTGGCTCAAGCCTGTAATCCCAGCACTTTGGGAGGCCGAGGCGGGTGGATCAGATCGAGACCATCCTGGCTAACATGGTGAAACCCCGTCTCTACTAAAAATACAAAAAACTAGCCGGGCGAGGTGGCGGGCGCCTGTA